AAATATAACGCTCCCATGGCTAAAAGGTCGAGCATCTTTGGTGACGGGAATTCAAATCGCGATCCTTAGGGTTGATGTTTGAGCGCCTCAACAATCAGCTCATGCCAGTGGTGAGTCTGAGTGCTAACAACGTTAAAAAATCGTGTTTCGATACTTGCAGTGGGCATAGCACAGATAGCCCATTATGTAGCTTTGCGCTTAACAACAAATAAAAATACAAATTTTTACCTTGCTTGAAATCACAACTGATAATCAACTTCTATGTTTAATCTAAAATATAACTTACAAAACCCTATCTGTTAGTACAGAGCATTTCAAAATCGGACAATATATGTAGTAACAGAATGGTGATGACAGATAGTTGCCAGCTCTCTTCGTTTTTTCTGTAAATTTTCATACCTCACTAAAAATTTAGTTTTTGGTGTAAATATAAGAAAACTATGAATCTTAACGAAAAAAATAGATATTGGAGGAAAAAATAACAGGAAAACTGGCACATATATATATTAAAAACATAAACTAAAAAGATATATCAATTCCTGTGAAACAAAGATTCAAATCTGGTTACATTATCATACATTTCTACAAATTTATACCATTTGAGTCCAGAAAGTGCAATATTTTAAAAACATTTTAATGCCTGAAGCACCTAATTTTTAATCATCTGTTTAGTTGTAGTAATAATATTCTCAATCGCATCTTTCAGCAGATGCGTCTAGAATGTAGGAATTCTTAACGTCTGTATCACAATAAAACAGAAGTTCGACTCGCTATTTTAAAATAATTAAAGTTGAATACTCTAACTTAATTTTAAAAACAGTCAGATTTCACATTTTTCAACATGCATGTCATTTTATTTTCGTGTGATTGTTTAGTGAAATTACGTGCCATTTATTTTTAGAAGACGAAAAAAAGGAAAGAAAGAAAAGACGCTTTTATAGAAGCATCCAAAATCAACACCAAACCCAAATCAGACTTTAGTTCCTTTACAGTGTACAAAATAGTTAATTAAAAAAATACAATAAATACGTACATTTTTTTCATTATTATCGCTAACTTTCAGATAAGTTGAGATAGGTGCAATAAATTGAGAAAATGAAATATTTTGCTTCGGATTATTGCAAAACTGTGTAAATAAAGCAATTACTGAACGTTGTTTAGGTAATCTGTGTTTAATTTGCTTGTTTATACTCAGCCTGGCTCGGCATGGCCAGGTGGCTAGGGTGATCGACTCGCAATCTGTGGGTCGCGGGCTCGAATCCCCGTCACACCAAACATGCTCGCCCTTTCAGCCGTGGGGGCGTTATAATGTGATGGTCAATCCCACTATTCATTGATAAAAGAGTAGCCCAAGGGTTGGCGGTGGGTGGTGATGACTAGCTGCCTTCCCTCTAATCTTACACTGCTAAATTAGGGACGGCTAGCGCAGATAGTCCTCGAGTAGCTTTGCGCGAAATTCAAAAAACAAACAAACGCAGGACGGGGACTTCTCCGCATGTTGGTAACCAGGTGAAACACGTCTTGCGGGAGCACTTTCAGGAAACAATAATTTCGCGTTTACGGAATTAACATTAGCCGATTTCTGGTCGTGGGGGTACATGAAGTCACGCAAAATTCCAGACCTCCAGGCTGTAATTATCCGGAAACATCCTCGCTGGGCCCCCTTTTTCTCTATCTTTTTTTAACATTTTCAAGAATTATTAAATTATTAAATTCAAGAATTTATAAAAAAGAAGAT